TGAACCTCGAGGTGATTTGGTGGCAGGCACAGCGCTTTGTGAACCTCGATGTGCAGACTTCGTGGCAGGCGCAGCAGTTTGTGAGCCTCAAAGTGCAGATTTCGTGGCAGGCGCAGCACTTTGTGCACTCACGATCCCCTTACCGTCCAAGCCGACCAGCGGACCGGCGGACCGGCGGACCAGCGGACCAGCGGACCGGCTGACCAGCGGACCAGCGGACCAGCGGACCGGCAAACCGGCGGACCAGCGGACCAGCGGACAAGCGGACCAGCGGACCGGCGGACCGGCGGACCGGCGGACCGGCGAACCGGCGGACCGGCGGACCAGCGGACCGGCGGACCGGCGGACCGGCGGACCAGCGGACCGGCGGACCGGGGCGGACCGGCGGACCCGCGGACCGGCGGACCGGCGGACCCGCGGACCAGCGGACCAGCAGGCTGGCGAACCAGCTTCGGCGGACCAGCGGAGCAGCGACTAGCGGACGAGCGGACCAGCAGAGCAGGCAACGACCAGCGGATAGCGGCTAAGCGGACCAGCGGGCGCCAGCACTTGACATAGTGTCCCACCCTTCCCACCCTTGCCTGCGCCACCAACAGGCCAGCGGACCAGCGGAGATAATAATGGTGGTGGTGATGGGTGTTTTGGTTGTTGTTCTTGTTGTTTTTGCTGCTACTACTGTTTCAGCCCGGGACACTCAATGCGTCCTTGGTCAGGCTTCGCCTTGCTGCTTCGCCGCGTGGCATTTGGAGGCGCGGTGGGAGTTTCGTCTGGCTGTACTAATGAAGTCAATCGCTTTGCCAACAGCTTGCTGCCTGTGTCGCCCATGGCATGAGCCTTTTCACTTGGCCGCATCGTCTTCTTTCATCCTCAAGCTGCTGGCCTTGTCTCTTGATTTCTTTCATCAGCGCACGATTGCAACCGCGGTCGAAAACATGACTTGCAAACATCTACCGTGCTTCTGCTTTTGAACCAGCATGCAAGTATGCAAGTTGCCGATTGCAAGCGCGAGACCCGCAAGCCACCCTGCTATCCGCAAACATCAATCTAGCATTTTCTTCTTTTTTTCATGCAGCTGCAATGACGAATCCACAGCATCAGTGCCATGGGGTCCTTGCGCAAGCCATTTGTGACGCTGACCCGGCTGCGCAAATTTCGCCAGAACTAGTCCATCATTTGGCGACCAGATTAGAACCGCTCTTCAACTAAAGGGTGCTGTTTTCGGCCGGGAAAGCAAAGCTCAAGAATTGGTGCCGCAGCTTGTTGCTTGCCCTGGGTGTGGAGGACGACTTGCTGAATGTCGGAACTCCGCTGCTGCAGCTATCGTCGTAGATCTGTCGGGTTTGGTCCAGAAACAACGCATTCCACTGAGATGTCGGCGATCCTCCTGTCCAGACTTTGGTGTGCTGCTGTGGTACAACTATACCGTGCGGAGTGGGTGCCATCATTTTGCAGGAGAGCTACCTGAGTTGAACTGCTTCATGTTGTCCGCCACCTTCGGCTTCAGTGTCCCCTGGTTGCAACAGTTTCACGTACGCATGGTGAGGCAACATGCGTTTTTCACAAGTGAAGCAGATGTGCTCGGCGCGCAGGCAGCTTACAATTCCCAGCTCCATCTCTTACCAACAGCTCGATTGCGGCTTCTCATTAGCCAGGGGTGGTTTGCTTGGCGTCTCCTCACCCGGGTGCACCAAAGCAATTTGGACCTAGCATCTTTTGATTTCTTGCGGCCCATGGAGGACATGATTGGCTTATTCTTGCCGCAGTTGCAAAGAGAATTTGGCACGACTACCTTGGAGGGAGCCCAAAAAGCCACGATGCGCTGTGACGTTGTTGTGCTCGATGGCAATGCAAAAAATCGTCGAGCTGTTTGCGGAGCCTCATTGGCCGGAGAGACTTTTTCCAAGGAATTGCGCCGGGTGGTCCGCCACAACTGTGCCAATACTCATTTCCAACCGCAAAAATGGGTAAAATTTTTCTTTTTCAGCCACTCTGCCTCAGGAAGTGACCATTCTTCAGCACAAACTCATCAATGACGGACAGTGCTTGATGGTCTTGCTGAAAGAGACTGTGGCTGATCGCCAGTGTGGAAGCAGTCCCGGAGGGCATCCTCTTGTTCAACTCCTCACCGGTGCTTGCAAAGGCCCTACCACCGAAGACCAAGGCCTCCCAGTCGCCAGTCGTGGCCGGTGATGTCACACTCAGTGCCCTAGCCTCTGGAGCCTCAGCTGCTGTTCCCACCTCGAGTGACCCTTGGGCGCGTCTGTCCTGTCCAACTATTTGCAGCAAGTGGGCGAGGCGAAGTTGAAACCCAGCAAACGCCCACGGCGAGAAGAGGAGGCAGACGGCAGAGGCGGCTCTTCCTCATCGCTTGGACCTTCGATGCTTGCGAGTTTAACGTTGCAAGAGATTGGGCGCTCGTCCGACCCAACAGATTTGCAGTGCGTGACTTGCTGCACACACAAGGAAGGCAGCGCTGCTCAAAGGCAGCTTGCCAAATCTGCTGGAATGTTGTGCGCGTGTTTGTCTGAGGGTTTGATTTTGCACATGCAAGAAATCTACGGCTGTGAGTTGTTGAGCCAGAGATACCTATGTCTGGCGTCTGTGAAAGCCCTCCTGCCGTCCCTTCGCGTGGTGGTCCACGATGATGCTTGCCATTTGCACAAGTACGGGGCTCGTCGCGCCCAGGACGGAAACTCAAAGGGGATGACAAAGCCACGAAATTCTTTGGGCAGTGAGAGCTATAAGCACCGTGCTAGTGTTCTGTTGTTTCTTGCGTGAATGCGTTTCACGTTTTATATTGCCCATGCGCAGGATTCAGAAGCTGCTGCCCAGATAGCCCCGCCAGAGATGAAGTACGTGTGCGACAAGTTCCACATGGCTGGCCATACCGATGCTTGGTGTAAAGAGACGTGCGACCCAGCCTTGCCTGCAAACGCTTCTCTTCTTCAAGGCATTCGGACTTCGGTCTGTGAATTCACTTTTACCTGGTTGAGCAAGTACAAACACCAAACCAAGCACATGAACAAGCACGGCTTCCAATTCTTCTTGCTCGATATGGCGTGGAGCCACAATGAAATTATACTCCAAGGAGGCTACAGACCAGAGGAGGTCGCCGGCTCTGCGGCATTGGAAGGGACCGACTGACAGTCTAAAGTTAAGATTTAGGATTTCAAGCGCGGCCTGTGCCTTATAGACTGGATCGAAGCTGTGGAATGGAAAATTCATGGTGTGTCGTACCCGCTCATTGCATCGACCTGTTGCTTCAAACGGCTACATATCACGCGGTACATGACTCTGTCAGTGCGCATGTGCAGATGCCTCGCTTTGAAACCAAACTGTTTTGCGTAGCTTCGACTAAGTCTGACTAAAGTGTTCCAACAAAGCCTTGCATGATGGCCGTGACAGCCGCGTCTGCTCTGAGCTCGGTGGCGCGGCCAAGCCATGTCGTCAGTTCTGGGGCCCTTGTCTGGAGCCCACGAAGACAGACAGTACATCCCTGCCATGAATTTGATGTGGGATGAAGTGGACAAGTGCTTCGACCCAAGCTACATCCTTGGAGAAGCTGGGCACCGCTTCTGCCAAACATACGCTGTTAGGGCAGCCCACGCAGAATTTCCTTACGCCCTCCACTGCTTGTCGCTGATGTGTGCTCTTGTGAACGGTGCCAAAGTGGCTGTCTTTGCTACCTCGCCATCGCCTTTGACGTTGGTTGCAATTAATGTCAACTACGCCCAGACGAGAAAATCATCCTTGACAGGACACGCAGAGGCTTGTGGGCAGGAGTTGGACGCAGTCATCTTGACGAACGCGGAGTCCAAGCTGGCGACATATTGTGTGGAAGAAGGCGGCGCTCCTGCGCCAGTGCAGCACAGGTGTGAGCGGGCTGTTGAAACAGGGGGCTGGGAAGTTTTAGGTGTTGAATTCTAACCAAAAAGGAGCCCGCCATTTGTGCCAGGTTGAAGCCGAAGCTATTCTCCGCAATGGGTTGCCAGCGCAACACCTGAGGAGTGGTTCCATCGATGCTCGGGCGATTGGAACCAGGTCCGAAATGCTGACAAGTTGCCCGGAGACTGGTCTGGCCGATGCTGGTTTGGCTTGCTGGGGAATTTTGATGAGGCCTACGACTTCCTGCTCAGCTTGGGTCTCTTGTCCGATGGGCCTGCATCCAAGGAGAAAGCCAAGGCAAGGGTGAACCCGTACCAGAGTGCCTTCAACAAGCTCTTGCAGTTTGGAACCAGCGCTCGCGCCACGAAAACGAATGGGAGCTATGGAGAGAAGCTTGCTAGAACCGTTAGCATGGGGATCACTTGCAATATGCACCCTGCGCAATACATCCCTATGGAAAGAGGTGAGGTTGGTTGCCACGCAGCTTCCACCAAAGAACGGTTTGTCATCTCCACTGGCCGCCCTCTGCAGCCGCATGAAGACATGCCGGCAGATTTCTGTTGCCCTCCAGGACAGGTGTTCTGCCCGATGGGTGTTGTGTTAAAGCGTTTTAGATTCTGTAAAATCTGCTCACATTCTTTGCTGGATTTGCTTTGCGCAGGAGTTTCCCGGCGCCGATGGGTTCCTCTCACAGCCGAAATTGCGGAACTGCTGGGCGTAGCCAACGAGGCTGCTTCGCCAGATGCTGCTGCTCAGGAGTGGAAAGACGTTGGCCTTGAAGATGAAAAAGCAGTGCAGCTCACCCAGAATGCAGCGGGCGACTATGTCCCATCAGAGGAGTGAGCCGTTGTGGAGATATACAACAGTCGCTAAGGAAGTGTGAAAAGAGCTCATCCGCAGGTGTTTGGTTGTTCAGGTGCAGGCAGCCAAGTGGGTCCTGCAGAACCTGCGTGAAACCAATCCACCCGTAGGTACTCCACCCGCCGAGCCCTTCCCAGAATTTGGTCATGACAATCTAGATCCGAACTTGTCTCCCTTAATTGCAGACCTGTCAGCCACAACAGCAGCGTAGGCAGACCTTGCGCCTACACTGTGGTGCAAGACTGGTGGCCAGGGATGGGGGCGTTGAAGTTTGGAAAAAGCAGGGTGTACGGTGTACATCAGAGATTCTGGTGGGCATTCCAAAGCATGATCACTTCAGTTCAATGAGGGTGACTTCTGTGACTGATTTTCGGTTTCAAGCCCCAGGTATAGGTGAGGCGCTTCCGTTCCGCCGCATCACCCTTGCAGGGCAGGCCCAACGAGGTTGATTGTCAGACGCTGCCTAACGTTGCTGTCTGAAGAACAAAAAAATCTTTCCATGTCCAGTTTATAGACCACCGGAACCGCAGACCGGACCACTGGACGAGCGCATCCATGAGAGGAGGGGAGCAGCGGACCGCGGACCAGCGGACCAGCGGACCAGCGGACCAGCGGACCGGCGGACCAGCGGACCGGCGGACCGGCGGACCAGCGGACCAGCGGACCGCCGGGCCAGCGGACCAGCGGACCAGCGGACCGGCGAACCGGCGGACCAGCGGACCAGCGGACCAGCGGACCGGCGGACCAGCGGACCAGACAACCGCACGATCATAAGTCACTTTGTGAACCTCCATGTGCAGAATTCGTGGCAGGTGTAGCACTTTGTGAACCTCGAGGTGATTTCGTGGCAGGCGCAGCACTTTGTGAACCTCCATGTGCAGATTTCGTGGCAGGCGTAGGACTTTGTGAACCTCCATGTTCAGTGTCAGGATTTTTGTGCATGGTGGAGAGTTAGTTCAGGAGCTGGTTTGAGTGGATGTCTCGATGTGTCGGTGGTTTGTGTTGACACCGGTAGTTTGGTCTATAACGCTAAAAAAGGCTTCCATATTCGCGGCTTGTTGTGATGCAGGATCACGATGGCGGCAAGGTCTTAGTTTGGGAGCGATCGTTCCTGGGTACATTGCCGCCCGAGTCGGAGGCGGCTAAGGAAGCAAAGAAAGAGGAGGTGGCTCAGGAGGCAGAGGACTAGGTGGTCTCCTGAGGGTGGGTGCTTGGAGCTTGTGGCTTTTGTGCAGCTTGCGTGACTCCACTACAGGCAGATCGAGTCGCTGACACAAATTCCGCATCAGATCTTTAGAATGAGTTGCTGACACTAGTCTCACAGAGGTCGTGTTCGGGGGACAGTCTTTTGTTCAAGAAGCTATCGCTATTCCTTGCGGCGCAGTTTGGATGAAATCCTTCAGTTTCCCTAGAATCGAAGGAAGAACCACGAAAACTAAGACGCAAGATGAAGAAAGTCATAGGGCCACACCAAGGGAGGTTCAGTGACCGTAAATAGGGCCCGTAACCTGAAGTACCTATGCATGGGATAGTCTGTGGGGTCCTTCAACCTTCAGGCCACAGGATGGCAGGCCGGATGGCATTCTGAGGTGTCTTCTGACAGAAACATTGCTTTTGCGCCAGGCGTACTGGATGGCGATGGCCTGGCAGACAGCCTCCCGCCCAAAAAGTCGTCCGTTTTCGAGGAAAAGACGGCGCGGCGTTGGGTCCTTAAACTGAACAGGTCATGATTTGCATCGCGAAACATCCTAAGTCGGGCATCATCCTAAGTCAGTGGATTTCTTGGGTAGTCTTGATGTATACAATTAGTCAATATGTTGGCCTTCTCTTCAAGGCCTTTCTTTTGTTTCTTTCTCCTTGTTTTGTCGAGGCTGAGCTCTGCGACGGCTTTTTTATCATTTGGTTCGGACAAGGCTTGGCGTGGGTTTCACGATATCCAATAGATTCCATTGGATATGGTGTCCCTGAAAGTCAAAGACATTGATGACTTTCTGACACAGTCAAGGAATTTCCTGTATTTCAGCCGGTGAAAGTATTTATCGTCGAACTAGACTATTCTAGGGGTATGGTGTGATGCGTCTGAGCTTTTGACTCTACACCGGGCGGTCCCGAACGCTTTCGTGGCCGATATCCATCAATATTTTTGTATCCATGGTGACCATGCACCGTTGTTGGACGCCTTTCTGAAGCTTTCTGAAGAGATCAAACTGCGCACAGCACACTTTGGCCCACCCACGGAGTGTGTGTGCGGATCTCGGACCGGACGGAAACGGGTTTGGCGCCCAAGGACGCGCGCTCCGGGTCAACCTCCAAGAACCTAAGCTATTCCAGATACTCCTTTAAGGGGCTCTGATATATGTTCGGTCACCCCACGTCATATATCTTTTAAATCAGAAGGGAATAGATGGCATGTGTCCAACCATTCCTTCAACGGCCCGGAATCCCGATTGCCTTTCGGAACGGAACATACTTCCGGAGGCGTCTGAGACCGTCGGGTGGCCCAATCTCATCCAGGGCTCGTGGATGCTCTGCAGGCAGGGGTCAGGGAGATCAGAAATGCATGGTCATGGAAGTACCATGAAGACCCCAAATTTTTGAGGGGGGCAGTACTTCCACTAAAATGGGTACGGGTTCACTAGTGAAATTATCCATCAATAGTGATGCCTGTCGGCTTGAACGCTCATCTGCCTACTGCCCACTCACCGGTCCCGGTCCGTGCATCGCCGGCCGCGGCATGTCGCGCGTCTCACCTGGAATCGTCTTGAGAACTCCAACGCACTCCATGTTTTGCAATAGTTCGTACGTCAGGTTCCAGGATATATGCAACCTTTCAACTCCTGCCCTGTCATGCAGTGGATAGCCATGGATAACCTTTAAGCTTTTTTTGGGATTGGTTTCCCCACGTTGAATGACGGTTTCTCCGATGACGGTTTCTCCGAAGCCTCCCATGACACCAAAGACTAAAGCTATTTCATGCTACTTCCAAGGTCAGAATGATCAGCGAGATTGCTTCTAGTAATTAGCGACGCCCTTTGTTCCTAGTAGTGTCCTTTGTTCCTAGTAGCGACGCCAGGAGCTACGGCTGGTAGTAATGGCCTCCACCTAGTAGCGTCCGTGCTCCTAGTAGCGATGCCCTTTGCTCCCGGTAGCCCCTAGCAGCCTCCATTCGTAGCGTCCCAAACCTTTGATCTCTGAGACCTTGGTGAGCCACCAACTGCTGAGATAAACAAAGAAACCCGCCATTCCGTCCTTGCTCCTAGTAGCGATGCCAGGAGTCCCTAGTAGCTTCTTGCTCATGGCCAGGAGCCCCTAGTAGCAGAATATAACAAAAGCATTCTGCTTTCAGGAATGCCAATGGTGATTTGGAGTGTCCCCAACAGGCTCCACAGCGGAATGGGCAACAGTCCAATGCGCAGATTTCGTGGCAGGCGCAGCGTCTGTGGAGCTGGAAGCTGAGAACTGGCGACTTTGTAGTGCAACTTTAGTACGCGGAGTATGCGGATCTGGAAGATGAAAGCTGGGCGACCTTGTACTTCAACTTTAGTACGCGGAGCAATCTGTGAAGCTGGAAGCTAAGAACTGGCGACTTTGTAGTACATCTTGAGTACGCGGAGTATCTGGGGAGCTGGAAGATGAGAACTGGCGACTTTCTAGTACAACTTTAGTGCGCGGAGTATCTGGGGAGCTGGAAGATGAGAACTGG